ATTCATTGATTCATTGATTCATTGATTCATTGATTCATTGATTCATTAATTCATTGATTCATTGATTTTTCTCATGGTAATAGTTCCTTTATTTATTTAATATAACCGTGCATTTTCATCCCAATAGTTCATTTATTCATTTAATCATCCATTATTTTGCATTTTTCGCCTGAAAATCTGATTTGCTAATCCCTTTAACATTGCAAGCTGATTTCGTAGACCCTTGATATTTCATTGGTTATTGTTTGAAATATTTAAGATCTACCAGATTAGGTTGCAAAGATATAGGGAGTCAGAAAGTATCAAATTTGAGGAGGCAATAAATCAGTTTCTAAACCCCTTATTATCCAGGTATATTGGGACAGTGGGTATAAACGCTGAGCTGGACGAACTTGAAGTTTCAAACCTTGATATATCCGTTTTCGTCATGTTCTGTGTTCAGGTGAGTTAGATAACAAGAGGTAGGAATTTTTGTGTGGAGTATCCTTAATCTTGAACACTTGATCTCAATATTCAATGTGGGCACTAAATTTGAGGAAAACTACTTGATACCTCAATTAAAGTTATCTCTGAAGGGTTTGACCACCACGAGTAATGAAATGAATCTGTAGATCTGTATAAGATGAAGATCATGATTTCGAGATTCACAATACAAAAGTGTTTACATTTTCATATAACCTCAGTTTTTTCATTATAATCTATTTTTTGTGTAATTGAATATTTTACTTCACCCATGTCCCCCCACCTTTTGGGGATTGGGAATAAAATATTTGAAAAGAGAGTAAAAAGATATCATCCTTATTTATTCTTTTATTTTCCCTGTAGCAACTATCCAATGTACACCAATATTAAAAATAGCTTTCTTGAACGATACAACTATGTATTATTCAACTATTGATGCTGTATTCAGCTACTGATACTGTATTCAGCTACTGATACTGTATTCAACTACTGATACTGTATTCAACTACTCTGATACTGTATTCAACTACTGATACTGTATTCAACTACTGATACTGTATTCAACTACTCTGATACTGTATTCAACTACTCTGATACTGTATTCAACTACTGATACTGTATTCAACTACTGATACTGTATTCAACTACTGATGCTGTATTCAGCTACTGATACTGTATTCAACTACTGATACTGTATTCAACTACTCTGATACTGTATTCAATTACTGATACTGTATTCAATTACTAATACTATTCAGCTAGTGATACTGTATTCAACTACTGATACTGTATTCAACTACTACTGCATTCAACTATAAATACTGTATTCAGCTACTCTGATACTGTATTCAACTACTGGTACTGTTTTCAATTACTCTGATACTGTATTCTGCTACTGATACTGTATTCAACTACTGATACTGTATTCAGCTACTCTGATACTGTATTCAACTACTCTGATACTGTATTCAGCTACTGATACTGTATTCAACTACCAATACTGTATTCTACTACTAATACTGTATTTAACTATTAATACTGTATTCAACTACTCTGATACTGTATTCAACTACTGCTACTGTATTCAACTATTAATACAGTATTTAACTATTAATACTGTATTCAACTACTGATACTGTATTCAACTACTGATCATGTATTCAACTACTGATATTGTATTCAACTACTTATACTGTATTCTACTATTAATACTGTATTCAACTACTCTGATCATGTATTCAACTACTCTGATACTGTATTCAACTACTCTGATACTGTATTCAACTACTCTGATACTACTACTAATAATGTATTTTTCCAACAATATATTTTAATTGATTTATATTTAGTTAATGGTAAACCTTCTGCTGATTGTGGGAGCTGTAAAGAGAATTCCTAATCATGTTTTTCCTTGGCTCTGTGCTAATGCCATCGTTATAGCCTTACTTATGGTAAGTTTTCATCGTTTGAAATACAACACCTTATTCGCTACTCGTCATGGTAGAATATTTCTTTTTATGTAAGACCTTCCACGTGTTAAGTGTTTTGACTGCTTTAGAACGGTTCCCATTAGACCATTGTTTTAACTTAGTCGTCTCGTAAGTCTAAAACTTTGTGGGTCAACCTGTATTTTCTGAAATTAAATTAAAATTGTTCTTAACTATTTTTGTTTGTTAAATCATTGTGCAACAAAGCTATGACGTCACCTGGACCCACGTAAAATCCCCCAATAAATATAAATATAAAGCTATTTTACCTTAAATCTTAAAACTTCTTGATATATTATTATATTTACCATTAATATATCGTAGGTTAATAAAGTATATTAGAAATGCATATTATTTAATGCATATTGTGAATAATATAAATCTATAAATAATAACAAAATAAATAACCTATAGAAATTCCCCTCTCTGCATTTACATCAAGATAATTATTAATTAGAATTATCAACATGAATAGATATATCCTCGGAGAAGCTAAACAAAAACCATGACCGCTGTTTTTAAAAAGAAGGATGTCATTTTTTAAATATCTTTGAACTGTATTTCAGGTTTACAAGGTTCGAGGGAAAATAAGAAAATTAGACAAAAACTAAATTTATACTGTAACATCTTATTTTGAATGACATCTGATCAAAAATTAATGTAATGCATTTTAATCAAAATCAAAAATATTTATTATATTTGAAAATATTGCAGGTGATGATATTCATGCTTGTGTTTCTGGGTGCCTCTAGGAACTCCCTGAGCTACCACCAGTACGTGAGCTCCCTCTCTCTCATCTCCATTCTTGTGATGACAGATATGTTTTGCTGCATCGTAGTTTTTCAGTTCAGGAAGAATTTACTGCTGGAGGAGAGGATCCGTTTAGAAGAGATAGGTTAGAATTTACTTCAAAACAAGAATATTTGTAAAATTTGTTTTTGAAATCTATATTTTTGTGAATTTTGACATTTGTGGTTTATTATTATTTAAAATCTCAAAATCATTAATTAAATTTTACCTAATTTTTTAATCGCTAAACAGTAGTTTTGATACTTTGTTATTTGTTTATTAAGTATTTTAATCTTTGTTAACTTTTCCATTTTAGCCCGAAGGAGTGCTGGAGTTTTTATACCTAGTTCCCCCCCTCCTCCTCCCTACGAGGAGGCTGCCCCTGGACAGACCCCTGCCAAGGTGCCCCTTGAGGCCCTGGAGGACCCCCCTCCAGAATATGAGGCTGCGCTAGCTATGCTCTCCTCCCCACCTCCTCCTGGACCCCAGCTTAGGAAGAAATCCCTAACTAATCACGAGGTTTAAGTATTCAGACCCTCCTGGATACTAATATATCCTGGTTCAAGGTTTTAGAATAAATCCAGGACTGGGATCTAGAAACGAAGTGCCATTTTTCAGGATTCAGATTCATGTTTGCAGGATTCTGTACAGTCAAATGATGTCAATTTAAGGATTTTGGATTTTAAGGATTTAGTTCTCAGAATTTTGAATTAAGAATCAAGGATTTTGGATAAAGAATCCAAGGTTATGGATGTAGAAGCAAGGTTTTTGGTCGTAAATACTAGGATTGTGTTTGCAGAATAAGGTTTCTGAAATCCTGGTTTTCAGATTATGGTTTAGATTTCTGCATGGAACTAGAATTTGGGACCTGGGTCCAGATTTCTGCATAGAACTAGAATCTGGGACCTGGGTCCAGGTTTCTGCATAGAACTAGAATCTGGGACCTGGGTCCAGATTTCTGTATGGAACTAGAATTTGGGACCCATGGGTCCAGATTTCTGCATGGAACTAGAATTTGGGACCTGGGTCCAGATTTCTGCATAGAACTAGAATCTGGGTCCAGATTTCTGCATAGAACTAGAATTTGGGACCTGAGTCCAGGTTTCTGCATGGAAATAGAATTTGGGACCTTGATCCAGATTTCTGCATAGAACTAGAATCTGGGTCCAGATTTCTGCATAGAACTAGAATTTGGGACCTGGGTCCAGGTTTCTGCATAGAACTAGAATCTGGGACCTGGGTCCAGGTTTCTGCATAGAACTAGAATCTGGGACCTGGGTCCAGATTTCTGCATGGAACTAGAATTTGGGACCTGGGTCCAGATTTCTGCATAGAACTAGAATCTGGGACCTGGGTCCAGATTTCTGCATAGAACTAGAATCTGGGACCTGGGTCCAGGTTTCTGCATAGAACTAGAATCTGGGACCTGGGTCCAGGTTTCTGCATAGAACTAGAATCTGGGACCTGGGTCCAGGTTTCTGCATGGAACTAGAATCTGGGACCTGGTTCCAAGTTTCTGTTCTCCAAATCCTTGTTTCTAGTTTCAGGATCTTGTAATGGATTAAAAATGTATCCTTGTGAGTTTATTGTACAATATATATATATGTACACCTGTAGAGCGTACAATGTACATGTCGTTATCAACACTAATTCAACCAATGGTTGTTAAAACTTATGTAAGTAAGTTTAATGCAAGAAAGACAAATTGTTTTACAAAGTTTGCACAACAATTTGCAAAACATTTTTCATTATATTATTTCAAGACAGGATCAGTAAATGAGCTGGACTAAAATTGGCGGCATTGCTTCCCAGCTTATAAATGTCGTCTTCATTGTAGTTTTCCATTTTATTTTTGACATGATCTGTCAACGTATTTTATTTTCTAGTTAAACTAGAAGTTTGCTTGAAATTTTATTTATTTGTTTTTCAAAGAAAACAGCCCTGTGCAATAGAGATTGCACTCTCATTCAATCGAGCTGTTAGTTAAAAACAAATACAAGCTGAATTTTAGAAATTAAAGTTCCTAAAAAGACAAATACACTATAATAATGTCTATTAAATCCTTGGGAAATATCTTGATGTCGTAATCTGTTTTTCACAACGCAAACTTAGGCAGAAGACGACTTATTGTAAAAATGATTAAAGTTGCCCCGGATCAGAATCAATGAATTAAACCTACCCCAGTGAAATCGAAATATAAGCGTATCCTGTAGTAATTGCAAATCATATAGTTTTTTTTGTTAAAAATAGGTTTCTCCGATTTTAAATAGTAATGCTTATTTGTAAACAAAGACAATTTACAGAATTGTAAATATTTATGAAACAGACAGTCAAAAATCTAAACAAAATAAGTTACGTTTCCAATCATTTTATTCAATTAAAATAAAAAATTACAGTTTCTCAACTTTTTTAATCAAATTGGAACCATTGAAAATATTAGATTTTATTAATTGGATTTTTTAGAAACTTACAGATTAGGTATATTCTACTTTCTGTTAAAAAAAACACAAATTTTATAAATTTTTTTATAGATGTAGTATTTATATGTTATATTTTAATGATATTTAGATATATCGAAGATATGTTAAAAATTTAAAAAGTTCTTTAAGCGAGTATATTACAAAAAAATGAATTATTTGTTCATGTAATGTTGTAATTAATAGCCTTACTAATTACTGAATTTGTCATATTAATATCTGGAACAGATCAGATTGATTTCTGAGACAGAATATAGTAGGTTCAGATTAGTATCTGGATCAGACTGTAGCAGATTCAGATAGGTATCTGGAACAGACTATAGTAGATTCAGATTAGTATCTGGAACAGACTATAGTAGATTCAGATAGGTATCTGGAACAGACTGTAGTAGATTCAGATTAGTATCTGGAACAGACTATAGCAGATTCTGATAGGTATCTGAAACAGACTATAGTAGATTCAGATTAGTATCTGGAACAGACTATAGTAGATTCAGATAGGTATTTGGAACAGACTGTAGTAGATTCAGATTAGTATTTGGAACAGACTGTTTTAGATTCAGATTAGTATTTGTTTCCTTTTACCTTTTTTGATTTTCACTCAAACGAACCAAAAAAATTTAACCTCCAAAGGAGAACTGATTTTTTTTGACATTCATGTTAAAAAATTTAATATAAACAATAGAAAAATTTGCCTTTAATTTCTTATTTTTTCATCTAACTACAAAAAAAATATTCTCCACAGGAGAAATGATCCTTTTTTCTGACAATTAATCCACTATTTGAAGTCGAATTCTTAAAATTCCTTACTCATTTCATATATGAATCCTTTCTAGTATTTGGAACAGCCTATAGTAGATTCAGATAGGTATCTGGAACAGACCGTAGTAGATTCAGATAGGTATCTGGAACAGACTGTAGTAGATTCAGATTAGTATTTGGAATAGACTATAGTAGGTTCAGATTAGTATCTGGAACAGACTATAGTAGGTTCAGATAGGTATTTGGAACAGGCTATAGTAGGTTCTGATTAGTATCTGGAACAGTCTATAGTAGGTTAAGATTAGTATCTGGAACAGACTATAGTAGGTTAAGATTAGTATCTGGATCAGACTATAGTAGGTTCAGATTAGTATCTGGATCAGACTATAGTAGATTCAGGTAGGTATCTGGATCAGACTGTTGTAGATTCAGATTAGTATCTGGAACAGACTATAAGTAGATTCAGATTAGTATCTGGAACAGACTATAGTAGATTCAAATTAGTATCTGGAACAGACTATAGTAGGTTCAGATTAGTATCTAGATCAGACTATAATAGATTCAGATTAGTATCTGGAACAGACTATAGTAGATTCAAATTAGTATCTGGAACAGACTATAGTAGATTCAGATTAGTATCTAGATCAGACTATAATAGATTCAGATTAGTATCTGGAACAGACTATAGTAGGTTAAGATTAGTATCTGGAACAGACTATAGTAGGTTCAGATTAGTATCTAGATCAGACTATAGTAGGTTCAGATTAGTAGCTGGATCAGACTATAGTAGGTTCAGATTAGTATCTGGAATGAACTTTAGCGATCCAGTACACTATGTTTTTATAATTAAAGTCAAGATTTTTTAATTTACTGTTTTTTAAAAGATTTCAAGCTATTGAAAAAAGATTTTTTATATTTGTGACAAAAATTGCCTTTGAATCATGTTTACTAGAATGATTAATCATACGTATGTACAATAGTGAATCATGATATGTACAAGAATGTTTCATCACTCGTACAAGAACTTATCATCATCTTTATGTACACTTCTGCATCATCTTTATGTACACTTCTGCATCATAAAATACAGAATTGTTTTTAATCATAAATATACTTTGTAAAAGAATATATATTCACACAAAAATATCTTTGGATGTTAATTGTACAAGAAAATGTGATGTACAGCTAATGATAAACATCTATGCCATAGTTGATGGATCAAAATATGTAAATATGTATAAATTGTCACAAACTCAAAATTTTCTAATTCTTTTTTCTTTCCAACCTTTGATATTTCAAACCATTTGATCTAACAGAATTCACAATTTAAAATAACAAAGGTCTACGGCACCTGGTTGCAAAGATAAAGGGATTACAAAGTTAGAGTATGTGACAAAAACTAAATTTCTTTCTGGCCATATTTAAAGTGTAATTAGTTTCCCCTCGTAGGAGTTTTTAAAGTGTTTAAACTCCTTGAAAATAATCCTTAGAGCTGTGATTTTCAAGTTTATTGGTCAATGTTATGTAAGCGTATACTACTGTTAAATAAACGTTCATACAAAATCAAACCTTTTTTTAATGCGTCTGAAAACCTGGTTATTATTAGGTTGGTCTCAATACGGTGAGTACCAATATAAAGTGGAATTCTTATCCTGTCATCCTCATCAGAGGTTAAAACTTTCGTTTGAAGTTCTTTAATCTTAAACAAATGATCTCAATATTCGATTTGGACACCTTAAATTTGAGAATAAATGACCCCTCAATTAAAGTTATCATGGAAAGTAATTATTGCGTAGATTTGAATAAGTTAAGATCAAAGCTTAAACCCGTAACTCACAACACTAAAGTTCCGACTTTAGATCACAATTAAAAATATAACAGTTGCGTTGCAACGCTTCAACATCGATTCAGTTGACGCAACTTTGCGTAGCAGTCTGGATCTATGTGAGCTCGAGGTCCAGCAGTCTGTATCTATGTGAGCTCGAGGTCCAGCAGTCTGGATCTATGTGAGCTCGAGGTCCAGCAGTCTGGATCTATGTGAGCTCGAGGTCCAGCAGTCTGGATCTATGTGAGCTCGAGGTCCAGCAGTCTGGATCTATGTGAGNATATATATATATATATATGTGTATTTTATATATTTTTACATATATGTATATTTCTAATTTTTACAGATATATTTGCATATATGTTAGCTATAGCTGGCCAAACGGCGGGATCGAATTGGCTGAAATTTATTGAGGAAACCCATGGGGTATCCCTGGAGGTAACATAGGCAAAACCAAAGTTGAAATTTTTGTCTTCTTCAAAAATCATTTTATTAAAACAGATTTTTTTTTCACGAGCAACGCAGTTCACTGCAGAGCTCAAGCAGAGTCTGCGTTAAATTATAAAATGCCCCCTGTGAATATCGAGATATTGCAGGATTATGGGTATCTAACACTAAAAATCCTAAAAAATGTTGATCAGAAATATATAGAAGACGACTTCTGGACCCGGAACTGAGCTATAAGTGATCAAAGAGGATAGAAAAGTATAGAGTGGAATTAAAACGAAAAAAGTGTAAAACCGCCATCTTCTTGTACTAATTCCATACTACAGGTATACTTCATACATTTATGCTAAATAATCTTTTGGGCCCTGAAACATCTTTTTAATTTTAGCATAAACTTTTAAAAAGGAAGAAGTTGTAACGGATATATTCAGGGACAATACTCTATTATTGTGATGTACTGGCTAATATTTGTGAACATTTACATGAATTCTTCACTTTGAACTCCTTTTCAGGCTCAAAGTGACTTAACAAATTCATACCGAGGGATATTCTTATTTCCCTTCTATTCTAATCTCTGTTCTATGATTGTATCCCACGAAGGATGAGACATAACGCTCTAAAGTTTAAACAACTTAAAGTTCAATAATGTTTGCCTATAGTTGTAAAACGATTTGTTTAAAGATGTAGCAAATATAGAATCAAGTTTACTGTTGCGCGCAAGGAACTTGTTAATGTAAGAATCGCGCAAGGAACTTGTTAATGTAAGAATCGCGCAAGGAACTTTTTAATGTAAGATGCGCGCAAGGAATTTGTTAATGTAAGAAAAAAGTAAGTAAATTCTGCAGTACAGTTGTTTATTACGTTTTGTATCATTTGTGGGTCCCAGAGACAAGAGAGTTACAGAGATCGATTATCAGCTAAAATATGCGATATTTTCCACAGCATGTTCTATCATGTGTACTAGTGATGCACACGACCAATCAGGAAACATCTGTATTCATGTATATTTAAAGACCCTTTGGATACAAAACACAAATTCTTCAAAAAAGACTGAATTCATAAATGTTATGTTTCATGTTTAAAATTGGAGTATTTCTTTAAAAGTTGTAAAGTTGAATGGGTATTATGTTCAACAAGTGGCCGTGAGATGGCACTGAAAAACTTATCGTAAAAACGTAGTATGTCGTGCCGGGTCAAATTAGGCCTACTTAGCCAACCCTGTGAAAGGATATAAGCAGTCTGTGTAGTCTGTAGTGGGACCATTATCCAGCGTGTCTTGAGTCAATTTTAAATGAATTTCAAACTTGAACGTACTTCAGTCATCAGTATTTACTTCTGGTCTTCTACAGACATTATCATAAGATTTAATTTATATTTTCTATATATTCGTCAGATCTACAGTGAGAACCAGAAAACTCGGGAATAGGAAGGCGATTTTGGACTTAAATGTAACATTAAATAGTTTAATTAACATCAGGCACAGTAGCAATTTTGCATTGTAAACAGACCCATTTCATTTAATAAACGATTTCACAACTTACTAGTCAAGCTATTTGCGTTTTACCGACATTAAATTCGGCCTCAGTTTTTACTTTAATGTCGTCTTCTTCTTGTACAGTTTTCTGGTTGTTACTGTGTGTTAAAAAGAAACAAAGTTGTTCTCCTTTTATTAAAAAATTATGATATTTACATATTTATTGATTTCCTATCTTTCCTTTCCTAGATACTTAATGGATGAAATTATTTAGATAATCTAATATTTGAAAATATTTATTTTGTAAAAAGATTATATTAGATATTAGGTTATATTGATAAACATCAAAAATGTCAAAATACACACAGTGTTAATATTTTCTGAAAGGGGAAGATAGAATAAATCAAACTTTAATGGGAGTGTATGCAGAATTTTGAGAAAGGAATATAAATTCAATCTAGGGACTGCGATGTGGCCACCTTTATGAGTAATTAAAGTTGAAATATGTTGCATATTCATATTTCATATTTTTGTTCAACTACAAAGCACAAGATAATACAAATAACAAATCACAATTTACTCTGTAGTTTGGACCCGCCTAACCAGAGTTGGTTGTTTTGATTGGTTGGTCCATTATAAGCGAATAAGAATTGTAAATAAATAGATGGATGTACACTGTACAGTGTACATTTTAAACAAAACAATGATTATAATTATTATTATCTAAAATTCAATAAATTGAATAATTTAGCAAGTTTTTCTACACTGCAGAACAATGTTTTTGATTTTATGATTTTATGTAGCTTTTTTGTCACAAATTCATCCATTTGTTGTGCGATGAACATCATAATTAAAAATCTCAATTCCCAGTATTTTCAAAATAAAGCTAATTTTATCTACGCATATATTCTCTTTTCACGGAACTTGGATGGGATAAATGTAAAGTTTTGATTTTTTTTTATAAAACCTAGCTGAAAACTTTAGAATGGTGGATATCGAGATTAGTGCTTGATCCTCTCATTTTCTTAATATCGAGACTAACCTAATCTTGTACTTGTATCCTGAAAAGTCTTACAACTCAACCAATCAAAGTCGCGTATATAAAGCTGATAAATTTGAAATTTTGCGCGGCATTTAAGATTAATATACAGAAACGGGAGGGACTATCTAATTGTAAAGAACCGGCTTTTGATTTTTCTCTACTATATCCAAGAAAGAACGGATACTCAGTAATCGGGATTAAGGATATCTCATTTTAAAGTTTTCAGCTCAGACCACATTTCATTCCAATATTTTTATTTGATATTTCTGGGTGGTCTATTGACTCTCTCATCATTATCCAGTTCTTTCATCTCCTGCTCCATGAAGAGGATCCCCTGCTGGAAGAGGACCTGACTGGCCAGCTGAGTGATGAACAGCTCCTGCAGCCGACGGATAGCGTAGTTGTCATACATCCTGCAGAGTAGAATAAGATTTAATTCTTTACAGAATAAATATCTACGTTTCTCATTCGTTTAAGGCTAGGTTAGACCTTTTCTAGATAGCAAGCTGCAAATGGACCGAGCGCTGCGGCTTGGCTAGCGCACGGCCGAGCGTTTCGGCCCAATATTATAAAGAAGTTTATCCACCTCAGAATAAAAAAAAAAAAGTTATAATGATAATAATAATGATCATACTTATGTCCATATAAACTCTTCCCCTGATCTAGAGTGATATTATTTCTTCTATGATCCTTGAGGAAGGAAAGAAAAGAAGAGTCTGGAGTGTGATCCTCGTACAACCTTGTACAATCATATATACAGTACAGTACATAAAAACATATATACAGTACGTTACGTAAAATTTACAGACAACTTGTACAGGGTGTCCCAAAAAGAACGCTTTTAAAAGTAATTCGGTTCGATTACGCACCTGCAAAACTATCAGAATATCAAATGCCTAATTATGGAGTACAAACGCAGTACGTTTCAAATAGGTCTACAAGCTAGAAATGTAAACAAATCAGAGAAAAATCAAAACAAAGGATCGTACTGCATTGTTCATCTCAAAACCGGTTAAATGTCAACAACAAAGAGAAAACAAAGAGGAGACCATAGAGAATAGAATATATAGAGAGGAATTAAAAGAATCTCTCGCTATGAATTTTTTCAGTCCCTTTCAGCCTAAAAAGGGAGTTCAAAGTGTACAAATCATCTAATGTGCACAAATTATATGCAGTAGAGTACATTCATACAGTATGTTGCCTAATCCATTTCAATTTCGAATTTTTTAAACTGTTAAATAAACTTTATAATGCATTAGGTGAATAAAAACATCATTTGATTTATAGTTATAACGGAAAATCATCGTTTGTAAAGTGGAAGGCATAGAGTCTATGTGAAATGATCATTGGTCAACTATGAAACCAGCCTATTTCATAATTTGGTTTTCTTTTAACAATAATTTTAGATTTTCTATAAAATGATATTCCAGGGCCCAACAGGTTATATAGGATAAATATATGAAGTACACCTGCAGTATGGAAACAGTACAACAAAATGGCCGTCACTTTTTTCTAGTTAATTCCTCTCTATATATTCTATTCTCTATGGAGGAGACGATAAGAGATAAGGGAAGAAAAGAAAAGAGATAATAGAACCGAAGAGTAGAGAAGAGAAGAAAAGAAAAGATAAGAAAAAAAGAGAAGAAAAAAATAAGAAAAGACAAGAGAAGAAACAAGAAGAGAAGAAAAAAGAAGAGAAGAAAATAGAAGAGAAGAAAATAGAAGAGAAGAAAAAAGAAGAGAAGAAAATAGAAGAGATGAAAGGAGAAGAGAAGAAAATAGAAGAGAAGAAAATAGAAGAGAGGAGAAAGAACAAAAAATAAATTGCGTGAAAGAATACCTTAAACTTTAGAATTAACTTTATTGTAAAATTGTATGATATTTTTGAAGAAAAAATAGCTGTCCTAACTGTTTAGCGTACATTTTTTGATCATTTAAAGATTTTTCATCATTTGGCATTTGATATTCTGATATTTTTGCACGCACCTAAAAGAGGTCTGAGCACATTAACAAATTAAGGAATTTATGACAAGTTTGCTATTTTGGCTTTGCTGAAAATTGATAAGTGAAAAAACTTGTAGAACTGTCCCCTCATTGCATTAGATTAGCTTTAGATCATATATCAACCATCGCTCTTTTACACATATCATTATCCACATCAACTGCTGCAATTTTTCTCTTACTAAAATGCCACTTTTACTTTAATTTAATTCCAAAGTTTGTCTGTCTGATCTTTAGGTTTTAGATGTTTCAAAAAAAGAATTGAGAGCAAAGGACATCTAATAGGATTTCAATTAAACATTAAAGGAATTTAGTCTTGTCACAAACTTAAATTCTATAATCACTATATCTTTGCAACCTGATGCTGTTAATTTTTGATATTTTAAAGATATAGGCAAAAAATTAGAATTTGTTGCAAAAGCTCATATCTTTTACAAGCTTTAATTTAACTTGCTGAAAATAAAAATAATTTGTATTATCTTTTAGCGACAGTATGCCGGCATTAGCATAGTTTTTGTGTATAAAGTAGAATATTTTATAATCAGGAAAAAAAATATTAACAAAAGATAAGACTGATAATAACGAAAATTTTGATTTAAAGAAAAATTAGTTTTAAACTTTATATTGATTAGAATTTACATAATTCTATCTATGAGTAATCAATTTACTTAAATGTAACACCATGACCTAAGGACATTTTAAACAGAATTTCCGTACATATAATTTCGAGATGGGGATGTGTTGAGTTGACCAACAATTTAAAAAATTAGCTGAACAAAATTTGGCAAATAATCTTAAAGACTAAAACATATTTAGAATCAGACATATTTGTGTTAAAAAGAACTATAATGCATCGCAAATGATTTAAAAGAATAAGGCACAAATGATTAAAAAAATAATTGCACAAAATGTTTTAGAAAATTTGGCACAAATTATTAAGATGAAATAGGCATAAATGATAAGAAAGAATAAGGCACACAAGATAAGAAAGAATTAGGCACAAATTATAAGAAAGAACTAGGCACAAATTATAAGAAAGAATTAGACTTAAATTATAAGAAAAAATTAGACTTAAATTATAAGAAAGAATTATACTTAAATTATAAGAAAGAATTAAACTTAAATTATAAGAAAGAATTAAACTTAAATTATAAGAAAGAATTAAACTTAAATTATAAGAAAGAATTAAACTTAAATTATAAGAAAGAATTAAACTTAAATTATAAGAAATTATTAGGCACAAATGAAACGGAAGAATTGTGCACTTACTTCTCGTAAGGTTTAGCTTGACTCTCTGTTAGCATTCTAGCATTATCCCAGATATCCTCATAAACACACAGCTCCGTCTCATCATACACAGTCGGCTCTACGATTATATTCAAGTTCAGGGATGGAGATTTATGGAGACTTACGAGGAAGAAGTTGAAATAGATAGGCTGGTTCAAATAGACTTTTTTTAGAAAGTTCAGCGATCTAATTGGATAAAAAAAAAACTTGTCAGATTTCCTGATCTCCTCTTGGGGTTAAACCATAGAGAATAGAATATATAGAGAGGAATTAAAAGAATCAGTTCAAAATTAGCATTTTTTTATTTGAACCAGTGCAGAAGTTAAGCCGAAATCATAAATATTTCAAACTATGCATGGAAATCATCTGGCTAAAGTTTAAGTTTTAAAATATCAAAGATTTACACCAACAGGTTGCTAAGATATTAGGATTAGAAAATTAGAGTTTAGTATAAGTATTCAGTTTCTTTAATTTTGAATAAGAAATTTTTAGCCCTTACAAAAAATGTTTAGATATAAGTACCAATAAGATACCTTAACAAAACAATAATACAGTAAGAACCAGAAAACTGTGAAATGAATGTCGTCTTTGTTTTCCCCTTTTTCTTCTAAAGTGTCGCAAAGAATTTTGCAAATGTAACAACTAATACACATAAAAAATGTTTCGGGCATTTAAAAAAATTCCATACAACATTTCATAACTAACACAATAAGGAAGACGACGAGAATTCCACTATTTACTGGTCCTCACTGTACAGTGTACATCTAACACGGACGGATAAATATGCTTGTTCCTGCTTGTACCAATGAGTAGAAGGGAAATATAACTGACGCAGCCTGCCCTACCATATGCTTATGAATGCTTTGCAGACGGTACTTGTTTAAGAAATATTGTCTGGTGTACAATTACCGCGTATACAATAACCTATTCTGAATATTCCTTTTACAATGGAGTACCGTCTGCAAAGCATTCATAATCATATGGTAGGGCGGGCCCAGTCAGTTGTATCTCCCTTCTATTTCATACTCTTTGGCTTGTACTTCTTATGCTTGGAACAAAAAAGAATATTTAAGACAAATTAAAAAACAATCAGAGTTGTTAAACGAATAATTTATATTGAATACTGTCAGGGGCGTATAAACTACAGAAGTTAGACTAGGTGGGTTGTCAAAAATGTTCTCTCCTCCCTCTACCCTACCCCAACATCTTGAAATGCTAAGAAATAGAAGAAATATGCAGATATGACGGAATTTAAGAGAAAATATTATGTCCTTACATTTCAAAATGGGAAATTAGATAAGGAGGTCTGAGCACATTAACAAATTAAGGAATTTATGNCTGTATACGCCCTGGAAAGCTGTCTAACCACTAACCATGGTTTATAGAATGTTAAATATTTCAGGTAAAAACTGGACAAGAGGCATTTAATTACCTATTTACTTGCATACAAGTACAAGGGGTTTCTGGTATACGATATCATTAGATCATGTTTCAATGGAAAACCGTACAATGGTCTACCCTGCCAGTTAAAAGGCGGGTACAATTTTACGTACAAGAAAATAAATTGTTGTACAATGGTCGAAAAAAGCATTAAATGTTCAAAAATTGTTTAACAGATAAATTCAAATAAAAGTTTTAAATCACAATTTTGGCCAAATTGTTTCTTAAATAAAATTAAACCTTTTTTAGAAATACGAAAGTGTAATAAATTGTAAAGTTAAGAAGTAGAGAGTGCAGTGTATGTGACTAGACTATAAATAGAATTATACAATCACATTATTTTACCCAGAACTCTGAATTGTTAATAATAAATGATTACAAAGCTATAAAACTTGTAAAACTTTTGTTTTATTTCACTAAAAATCAAATGACCGTACATTTTTTTCAAAATTTTTAAAAATAAAATATATAAATGAAACTTTAACGGTAAAAAACAACTCTTATAAAATGCAAATCTTTGACAAAAACCAAATAGATTATCAAGTACAATAGCTGGCAACAGAGAAATTAACCAATTATACTCGACGTCACAAGTGTCAAATATAACAAGGAAAACAAAATTTTATCACATTAGTTGACATGTTTTCCAAGATTAAATAAAAAAATTGTAAAAACAGAAACTAAAGAACACATAAAATTTCACTTATTTACTGTAAGAAAAGCGCTTTATTCTAAAATTATCACTATTATTGATAATTTTGTCGGACACAAAAACTGAATTGACACTTGTGACGACAGAATACAACTGTACTGAGAGTGTACAAATTCTACGTTGCCATCTATTGTACTAGAATCTATTTGACAAAAACTAACTTTAAACATAAAAAAAATTTAATTTTTATTTTGGTTTTAGCATTGATACAAGGCAAAATAAAGTTTTGACAGAAAAACTTACCTACGACTGAAAAATCTAATCTCGGACAAGGAAAATTAAAAAACTACTTTGTAAAAAAAAACCTAACCTATAACCTCCTCATGAAGCCACATTAGTAACTGTCTATCCTTTTGAACTCTAGCATTGGCCCCGAGGATATAACCTTCACAAAACAGAATTATAACATTTTAGAAAATTAATAAAAGATATTTTTTTCTAAAAAGACAGATGTTTGAAATTTTAAAGATTGCTTTCGGACCAGACTTTTTAAACAGCGAACAAAAAAAGTGATTGATCTACGTCTGTGCAGTTCAGCTACTTCTTTGTGTTTATTAAATCTGGTCCTGGGTCATTTTTCTGTAATTCTGTTTTCCTGAAGATATTGTGTGAATCTGTTCATGGAGAAAATCCTTGAGTAATTCCTTGAGAACTCTTTTCTGTAGATCTTCGGAGGAATCCCAGAGTTCCAGGAGCTGAACCTCCTGTTGCCGGTTAACTTGCTTCCAGGGGGGCCGGTCACCGACCTGCTTCAGTACTACACCCTACATAGATCAATAAATTTAACCCTCCTGCTACCAGTTAACTTGCTGCCAAGGGAGGCCGGTCATCGACCTGCTTCAATACTACACAAAATAAGATCAATAGATGTATTTATCCTGCTGCCAGTTAGCCTTCTTCCAGGGGGGACGGTCAGCGACATGCTTCAATACTACACCCTTTAAGATCAATAGACTTAACCCTCCTGCTGCCAGTTAACGTGCTTCGAGGGGTCCCGGTCACTGACCTGTTTCAATACCATGCATCCTAAATAAATAAATTGGTTTAACCCTGCTTCTACCAGTTAACTTGCTTCCAGGGGGGCTAGTCACCGACCTGCTTCAATACCACACCCTACATATAGATTAATTGATTTAACCCTTCTGCTACCAGTTAACTTGCTTCCAGGGGAGCCGGTCACCGACCTGCTTCAATACTACACCCTATAAAATCAATAAATGTATATATCCTGCTGCCAGTTAGCTTTCTTCCAGGGGGGACGGTCACCGACCTGCTTCAATACTACACCCTATAAGATCAATAGGTTTAACCCTCCTGCTGCCAGTTAACTTGCTTCTAGGGTGCCGGTCAACGACCTGCTTGAATACCACACTCTGAATAAATTAATTGGTTTAACCATGCTGCTACCAGTTAACTTGCTTCCAGGGGGCCGGTTACCGACCTGCTTCAATACTACTACCTACATAGATCAATAGATATAACCCTCTTTCTATTTGTTAGTTTGCTTCCAGGGGGCCGGTCAGCGACCTGCTTCAATACTACTCCATACATAGATAGATAGATATTACCCTACTGCTACCAGCTAACTTGGTACCAGGGTGACTGGTCTCTGGCCTGCTCCAAAACTACAACCTACATACGCTACAACTTCTTTCAACTGTTATTTATTGATAAAAACAAGAAAGAAATAGATGAATACATGAATAGATGAATAGATGAACAACAGATAATAGATCTGGTTATTATGAACTTATAATCAGAATTAGGCAAGGACTATATAAAAAATCATTCAACCATTTAAAATTTAAAAGACCATTACTAATGTTCTATACCTGAGTAACATAGAAAGGTTGAGGATGAGGAACTCCATCCTTAGGAACAGGTAGAGGAGTATTCAAGGGCTGGTTGGAGATAGTAGGAACCTTTGTATGTTTAGATCCACGTAAGCTTGGTGATCTAAACAAGAAAATATTATTTAGAAGACAGTTTATTACTTGTATTTTGCAGTCAATGATAATTTCAAATGTTCTAAACAATCGCCCTTTATCTCAAAAAAGATGGAGAACAACCCGAGTTTAATAATTGGCGGAAATTTTCTTACTCTGATGTGGAATTCACGCTCTATGTTTAACAAATGCCGCGTCCACCTAGGCTGACAATTTTCTGCTCGAAAACCGAAGATATCTCAGTATTTATGTGAATCGCTTTTGGCACTTTGAAATGAAGAGTAGCTGTAAATTACATCTACAAAATTAATATTGAAATGAAGAGTAGCTGTAAATTACATCTACAAAATTAATATTGAAATGAAGAGTAGCTGTAAATTACATCTACAAAATTAATATTGAATATTAAAATATTAAATATTAAAATTATAATTTCACCCTGCATATTTTAAAATATTTTAAAATGAACTAAATGTGTTTAATTATTAAATGAAACTACTGGAAACGGATATTTGTTTAAGAACATTAAACATGAACTTAGAAAATTAAATTTTAGAACATTAAGCTTGATTAAAGCATGCAATTTGATTCAACCATAAATCGAATTCGATTAAATTGAGATGTTTAACTTTATTAATAATTTTCTCATATCCATTCTTCAAAAAGTTTAAATTTATCAATACTTTTTGCATTTATGTCTCTAGCAAAAATTGGGATAATGCATGGCAAAAAGAAATCAAAGGATTTGAGCCTTTGCCACAAACTAAATTTTTCTAATCCCTATATCTTTGCAATTCCTGCAATGTGTAAATCTTTGAAATTTCAAAATTAGATTATTTGATCTAACAGAATTAATAGTTTAACTTTTATAGTTTAGTTTACTTGGTTGGAAAAATATTGGAATTCGAAAATCAGAGTTTGTGGTGAAAACACGATTACTAACTTCATGGATTCATTATTAACTTCTATATTTGAAGGATAAATTTGGTCGTACGTATGCCTTCATTGCGTTCTTAGGGTCTATTAAATGATTTAGTAAAGAAATTAAGAACCATGACTCTAATAAATAAGAATAAATAAGGTCCGTGAAGTCGTCTCTGAAGTCTCGTTATTTGTGGGCCCCCCTGTATAACTGTATCCAACCTTGATTTGGTTGATGCTGAGATGGTTTCAAGGCGCTGCGGCGGGGAGCGGGTAGAATGTGCTCTCATATTATCATAATCTTTAATATTTTATCTGAAAATAAATTCGTAGCTTATAGATAACTCTGTAAAAGAAGGGGCGAAGAAGGGGGTGGTGGAAGGGTCATGACTGTTGGAAAAGGGTATCGGTATGTTTTTCTAACAACGTTAAACTGAAAATAAAGCAAAAGGAAACCTCCTTTAAGATTCCGACAAAACAACTGCCCTAAGATTCCCTGTCCCTTTATACTTAACAATAAAACGTTTCCTTTGAGTTCAGAAAAGATTCGTCACTAATATCGTTGCTATCGGTGCAGCAGTAATGTTGTAGTTCTTTCACCAATATCGTAGCGAAATGTGCACGCAATGTCGTTGCAGCCTTTGCACCAATTTCGTTGCTTTCAGTGCACCAATATTGTTGTTATCTGAGCACCAATATTGTTGTTATCTATGCACCACTATCATTGCTATCAGTGCACCAATATCGTTGCCATTTGTACAACAATATCGTTACACTCCGTGTAATAATATAGTCGCTATCAGTGCACAAATATCTTTGCTATCTATGAACCACTATCGTTGCAAGCCTGTACCAATATCGTTTGTATCGTGCACCGCTATGTTGGTATCCGTGCACCAATATTGTTGGTATCTGTGCACCAATATCGTTGGTATCCGTACACCAATATCGTTGGTACCCGTGCACTAGTATCGTTGCTATCTGTGCACCAATATCATTGCTATATGTGAAACAATATCGTTGATTTGTGTGCACCAATATCGTTGCTATCTGGTGCCAATAATGTTGCTATTCTATGCGCTATTATCGTTGCTATCTGTGCACCAATATCGTTGCTATCTGTGCACCAATATCGTTGGTATCCGTGCACCAATATCTTTGCTACCTGTGCACCAATAATTTGTTGCTATATGTGCAGACATATGTGTGTACTGTTGTGGATAGGGCATAAAACTCTTTGAATAATTTATATTTGTGTACGTTAAAATATGTTAAATTCCCATGTATTATTTTAATAATTATAAAATGTGATAATATGTGATATGTATGCTGATCCTCGTATAGAATACATACTGAGACAATACTTGGCTTTCCCCTCAATAGACTGTATAGCGACCGTTTAAACAACCAAAACCTGAACTAACAACATCGACCGAGGTTTCAAATAAATCATTTCAATGCATGTTTTCGTATGTGTCCTGGCTAACTCAAACATTCTTTTTAAAAACTATAGTTGGGTAGAGAGGTTATTGATTAGAGAATAACGAGCATCATCCAAACCACACTGTTTCAGCAACTTTTTCAAAGAAAATAAAGAAAAATAAGTTTAGAAGATTATATTAAGTTGAATAGAAATAATAAAAAAATTCTAAGAGCACAGAATAAGATTAAATTAATAATTAGACTGCAAAGGAATTGAGTTTTTCACACAAACTCTGAGTTTTTTAATCCCTATAACTTTGTAGACCTTAGATTCAGAATAAGATTAAATTAACAATTAGACTGCAAAGGAATTGAGTTTTTCACACAAACTCTGAGTTTTTTAATCCCTATAACTTTGTAGACCTTAGATTCAGTAAAGTGAAATAAACTTGTAAAGGAATTGAGTTTTTCACACAAACTCTGAGTTTTTTAATCCCTATAACTTTGTAGACCTTAGATTCAGTAAAGTGAAATAAACTTGTAAAGGAATTGAGTTTTTCACACAAACTCTGAGTTTTTTAATCCCTTTAACTTTGTAGACCTTAGATTCAGTAAGGTGAAATAAACTTGTAAAGGTTTTAGAAAAAGTCTTTAATTTAATTTGGGGTAAAAAATGGTTTTTACAATCTGTTGCAAAAACTTGAGAATCATTAAATTCAAGTTTGTGACAAAGACTCAATTCCTTTATAGCCATTTAAAATCTGTATTGTAAAACCTACTTCGCGTTTTTTGAGTATATCAGATTAAACATTTGTACAAAAGTAAATTAGTTATGCTGTATGGATGTATTGCAATATCTTTCAGAGGGGTTTTTCAAAATTTATTTAAATATTCATTGGGGTTGGGTTCGTACTTCGCAACGTGGGATAATTGTCTTAAATTAAGTGAAATGATTTTGCGTCTGTTTGTTATCCTTCAAAAACATCCTTATCAGGGATTTCCAGCGCAGTTCCCAGGGCTGTGTAATCTTTATTAAATTTATAAAAACATATTTTAACGAAATTTAAATCAAATGTTCTTTTACAAAATTTTTTTTTTGCGGTTTTACTTTGTTTAACGGAGTTCGAGTTTGTACAATTTACCGACGTCAAGGGAGGTTATCTTCTGAGTACTCTTTCTAGACAATATTATTCAGGTTTAAAACTTGGATCTAACCTGTCCTTCTCCAGGTTCTAGGATTCTAAAGGGTTTACTCTAGGTGCCATAGTTAGCTTGGTTTACTATATCTCTATAGCTCTGGGATTATATAGAAGCATGAGTACAAGTAGGATACCGTCTACACATCCTAGGATTGAGGATAAATACGTCCCAACTCCGCTGCAGTACCATGAGATTAGTCCGTCCAGACGTATTGCATATAGACATCATGTTGGAACCAGAGAACCAACCATTCTATATATTCCTGGATTCTTCTCTAATATGGAGCTAAACAAGGTTAGTTCTTCATTAAACTTTACAGGGTGTCTCAGCACTTAATGTGATGCTTAGATTAACTTAGTACATCATTAAACTTTACAGGGTGTCTCAGCACTTGATGTGATGCTTAGATTAACTTAGAACATCATTAAACTTTACAGGGAGTCTCAGCACTTAATGTGATGCTTAGATTAACTTAGTACATCATTAAACTTTACAGGGTGTCTCAGCACTTGATGTGATGCTTAGATTAACTTAGTACATCATTAAACTTTACAGGGTGTCTCAGCACTTGATGTGATGCTTAGATTAACCCTGTCATGTTTGATTTGAAGAGAATTTCTAAACTAAAAACTGAAAGTGAATTCATTATTTGAATTAAGATAAAGTAAAAGTATAAAAGTTTTCAAAATTACAAAACTCACTTTACACAAGATAAAGCTAATAATTAAATTATACTCTTGCATAAACATTTTCATTTTTCACTAAGTTTAGGCCAATTTTACATTTTTTGCCACTTATTCTTTTGAGAACTAATCTTATAGGTTGCAAATACAAATTTCTCTCCTTAGGTTGTACTTCTGGAGAAATATGCTAGAGCAAACGGGTTCAGTAGTCTCCGGTATGACCAGGAGTGCTCAGGACGTTCCACTGGAGACCAAACCACTATTGAGTTCGAACACTGGGTGGAGGATGCAATGATAATGTTAAATGAGCATGCAAGAGGACCTGTTCTACTTGTTGCATCATCTCTTGGTTGTTGGATTTCAACAATTATTGCTCTTCGTCACCCAGACAGAGTTAAAGGTAAAAATCAGAAATACAAAAAAAAGAATTCATTTTAAAAACGTCGTTCGTGGAATATAGATACTTCTTCTAGATTAATAAGATTGATTAAACTTATTGATTCGTATTTCAATAAGCATCAGATTTTTCTTTAGAGAAAAGTTAGTTTAAACGGTTCTCCATAGTATAGTAAGAAAGTAAATAGTAACTAGTAATTGTAAGTAAATAGTAACTAGTAAGTAAGTAAATAGTAACTAGTAAGTAAGTAAATAGTAACTAGTAAGTAAGTAAATAGTAACTAGTAAGTAAGTAATTATTTATTTTTTAAATTTAACAAAAACATACAAAATTAACTGTTTTAAGAGGAAATAATCAAAAACCTCCAAAAATAGAGGTTTCAGGAATATGTCAGCACAATTCTAAAAAAAATAAACAGATTTCTTACGATTTAAATTGGCTAGGTGACTGTACAGTGAGCACGGTGTCAGCTGTTTTACAGAAATATCGGATATAGATAAAAGTACATAATGCAACCTTTTTTTCAGGAATGATGTTCCTTGGACCTGGATTTAACTGTTTATGGACCGGATACTGGTTTCACTACAACCTCCTGCCCCCAGAGATCAGGGAGAAGGTTGACCGGGGGGAGGAGCAGGTCAAGATCAAGATGAAGTATGGAGGCTGGGGAATCCTCAGAAAAGATTTCTGTGAGCGAACTCGAGATTTTGAGATTGATTTTGAGCAGCCGGTTGAGATTGATGTTCCGATCCGGATTATTCACGGGATCCGGGACTATGATGTTCCGCATGAGTTTTGTCTGATGGCTATGGAGAGGTTTGCCTCGAAGGATGTAGAAGTCTTGTACAGGAAAATGGGAGATCATAGATTGATGTCAGCTCCAGATCTAAATCTGATCAGTCATGAGCTGGACAGGTTGTTGAAGCATATCTCTGCTCTGGATAATGGACTGAAAGCTGCTCCACCCCTCCTCGCTAAATTATAAATTTTAAAATTAGGAAATATAAATTATAAAAGATCTTATTAGAAAATAAACCATTTAAACTTGTAATTTTGTCCACGCTTCAAGGGATTGAAGATTTGAAATATGTGTCAGAACATTTATATTGCAAATCTGTCAAAAATGAATGTGTTAAAATGATCGTTTTTTGTTTTGTTTTTCCTTTAGTCTCTAGAATAAAAATATTCCAGAGTTTGATAATTGCAAAGTTTTATAAAACGTTTTAAAAACAAGCAACGTGATCAAGCGTTCAATATTAACGATACTTGCACACACACGTTTTGTTTCTTCTTTTTTTACAGAAAATGATTTTAGAAGAAAAAAAAAATTTAACGGGTATAACGAATTGTTAAAATAAATTCGAAATATAAGGAAGACGATTGTACCGACTCAAATGCCGATGCCTATTTTCAAGACGTGTTTATCCATTTCCTCCATGTAGTGGCCACATGTCAAATCCCCGCTCCTCCCAGCTCCTCACCCCAGCAGTCAGTCAAGTTTAGAGAGTTGAGCTGGTAACAGCTCCGACACAGGGAGCCTCTTGACTCCTTCATGATGATGACGCAGATACTCAGTTGGCAACAGACGTGCTTACCCGAAGGGTTCCCAGTTATCATGCATCCCGGAGACAACATAATCGCTCAATCGCATCATGATAAAACCGCGATCTCTGCCTACTAGGTTGGATAAGCCCTGTTGTTCCAGTTCCTGTTGATCTGCTCCACCAACATGAAGCTCTACATCACTCCCATGAAGTCCTCCCAAATAGTCGTCATTTATTCCTTTTGTTAATTTCTAAACCAACCAATTTTAACGTCACTTGGGAAACTTTTTCAAAACTTTCGTTTTTTTATTAAATAAATGTTAGAAATATCCATGTAGATCTCCTTTTATTTTATCATATTGACTTTTAAAGTCAACACGAATATGAATAAAACTCCCAAAGTGATACTCATATATAACTTATCATCACAGAAGCTTTTGCTCTTTATAATCTATTTTATGAAAAGCCGCCAAGATTCCTGCGAAGAGGAAGACACCTCTAAGCTTCCTCATTTGCAGAATAATCTCCAACTGATGCGAAACCATCTCTGAACCTCACCCATTCTGTCTCCGCGCCCAGCATTTAGATCTCCGCCTGGTGTTTTTTATATTTATGTTTATTTTTGTTTACCTTTTTGAAAAAATATAAATCATCTCTTCATAAGTCACAGTATCATATTTTGTGAATTGGTGCAAGAAAAGTAAAATTTGTACATGATACACCTATAAAATATATATAAATAATTTTATTTTATTTATATAAAACTTTATAGAGTTCTTCACAAGTTTGAAAATTCGAGAATTTAAGAAAAACAAAAATAGCAATGTTAGTAGACTTTTCAATACAAATATGTTTATGAAATATAAAAAAAACTATTTTTTTTGTTGATTTTTTTGCAAAAATGTTTTTTTTGTTGGATGTGAAAGCCAAAGAGTATACTATCGAAACAGAATGGCAGAGGCGCACATACATTTTAAGGGGCTCGGAAATTGTTCCGTGAGGCTCGGAAAATTCTGAAAATCAGGATGCTCGGAGGTAATATTCAAGGATCGTGGCCTCTGTACCTCCTCCCTCTCCAATGCGAACTGTATAAACAAGGGAGAAGTAGACAACAAATATAATTGTCGTCTTCATTGTAAGAAAATTTGTCCTTAAATATGATAAAAAGATTTTACAACCAGGGTTACAAAAGAAAGGATGAGGCTTCAGAGACGACTGTACGGAATTTAAAACTGTCTGATTCTTTATACTAATGATTTCCCGCAGCTGTAAAGTTGCGTCGTTTGTTGCCTAATTTATAGATATGCAAAAAAAGACTATGAAGACTCATTTTGACCTTGGAATCGTAATATTAATGAGTTTCAGACCTTCTTCACAGTCTCATCCTTTAGGTCGGATACTGGGGAGTCAAGGAATGAAGAAGAGAGAACAGGTTTTGGGTAAAATAACATGTCTGTTAAGAGAAGGAGAAAAATGTCTGATAGAAAAAGAAGAAAACAACACAATTTGTGATTTGAAGTTGAGACCTGCACCATAACCAAACAGGAATATTTTGCCTGGGAAGCGTATATTTCAATAAACTGAAAAGGATTGCTGTAAACCAGGTTCATGAAACATGTATCGGATTTTTTAAAGAAATAAAAAACAAAAAATATTGATTTTGTAGCGACTCTAAATTTGATAGAAGCAGAAAACGTACTGTATATACTTCAATACAAAGTTATTTTATCTAATGTGGAAATTACAGATATAATTTGGTTTCATGGATGGTTTGGATTTTAAATCTGGAAGACGACATTGTTAATCCTCAACAGGTTAATGATAATTGTATAATTGTGAAAACTAAAAATATTTTGAAAATAAAGGAAATTAATGAGTATTTATTATCTTTGGTTTCCACTCGGAAAGTTATATTGATAAGCACGGATTAAGAACTGATCAGGACGAGATCTAACAGAACTGCGGAGAAGTAGGACATGGAGTGGAAATGAAGCTGGGTCGTTTTACCACTTGACTTTACTCTGTCAGGGCTAAGCACGTTTCATCCTGTTCAATAACCGTTCGATTTTATCTCAGTTAATTAGTTGAAACTAGCTGAACAGTTCTTTCCGCTGGATTCCCACTCCATGTGTATCTACTCCGTGGCTCTAGTTCATTATAAATTAATTAGAGAGGATTAAACACTAAACAGAAATATTTTCATTTCATTACATATTTTAATCAAGAAGCAACTTTACTCAGTATGTTTAAAAAATTAACAAAAAAAACATACTTTTTCAAATAAAAAAATTTATTTCAATAAAAACGTATTCAAATACTTCAGTAATGTTAACGTTATCGTCACTGGGATCACTACTAAAATTATTATTGTTAAATTGGTACATTGAATCTCTGGAATAGGAAGACGACTTTTAGAATCAAGTTATAGTTTTAAAAAGTCCAAAGAGCATGATATACAGTGTAAGTGTGAAGTGTAAAGAAAACCCATCATTTTCCGGTTATCACTGTATCATTTTTTCAATAGTACTTGCAAAGTTCTTATCATTGTTCCTATTTTTATATTAATATTAGCATTTGATAATGCTGATGTTTTATACAAGTTTTTAATTAATAAAAAAATGAGCTGTAAAGTCAATTTAAAATTGGATAGGGATTTACAAGCAAGGAGATGGAATTACCCATTAGTGATGAGACCATTAACTACAGTTAAACCCTTAATAACGAATACATCGAATGAATTCATCAAATGTCGTATTCTTCAATTTCTGATAATGGAAAGTTGCAGATATTAAGTTTTTTAATTAAATGATCATATGGAACTCTATAAAACTATTCCCGCATATTCATTGCTATTATTTATTTTCGCAAATACTGAAATTTACGTAATATAGTATAAAACTCATTGAAAAATTGTCAAGACGACATTTGATAAATTCTTCCGATGTATTGGTTATTAAGGGTTTCACTGTATTAGTGAAGTTGTTTTAGTAGAATCTTGTCAAAACAAAACTTGATTGTACTCATGAAAAAATTATATTCAATTGAATTTTTGATTTTTTTTTTACAGGGTGACCTGTAAAACATGAAAATCTAAAAAACTTTGGTAACTCATAATTATTTGATTTTCTTCAAAATTTTACTTTTTATGTTTTAGTTATTTAGATCTTTAAAAGAAGAATCGAAAAATATCTTTAACTTTTTTCTAGCAAAAAAATTGACAATTTTATAGATTCAAAACTAAATTACAGGGTGTTCTTTTGGGTTTTTTTTCCTAATTCAAAATCTTGTTTTATGGCGTTTTTTAAAATTGAAAATTTAATAAAAAACCCAAATTTGAAGTTACGTCAAATATAAAATATGCTTTGAAAACAGGAAATCCTAATGAAAGCGCAGGAAAAGACAAGACAACATTTAGTTTAAGAAAAAGGCACTTAAAAAAAAACCTCATAAAACAACTCTGAAAATAATGAACAAATTCAACGGCCATGCAACGGCTTTCCCACAAAGTTTTTTAGTCGCCGTGTGACATGGTAGCCTATTCAGCTTTACATAACAACAACATGGTAACCTATTCAGCTTTTCATAGTCACAACATGGTAACCTATTCAGCGTTTCATAGTCACAACATGGTAACCTATTCAGCTTTTAATAGCTACAACATGGTAACCTATTCAGCTTTTCCTAACCACAACATGGTAACCTATCCAGCTTTTCATAACCACAACATGGTAACCTATTCAGCTTTTCATAGCTACACCATGGTAACCTATTCAGCTTTTAATAGCTACACCATGGTAACCTATTCAGCTTTTCATAACCACAACATGGTAACCTATTCAGCTTTTCATAACCAAAACATGGTAACCTATTCAGCTTTTCATAGTCACAACATGGTAACCTATTCAGCTTAATTTCTTGGATACCTTAAACAAGGTTCTGATAAATAAATTACAAAGTTAAATCTCGCAACCTCTCCCCCCGCTCCAGCAGATTTATGAAGAATGTGTTTGTTTCTGAGGGTAGAATAGATCAAATTATGTTTAAAATCCTTAAATGATTTGTCAACAGGGCTCATCTCTGTCACATTTGTTAGCAAAGATACAAATCTAATCCCTCGTCAGTTCCCACCCCACCCTCCACCCTCTTCTTAGTTCTTAAACCCTCATCCACCCTCATCCACCCTCATACACAATCATTCACCCTCATCCACCCTCATCCACCCTCATCCACCCTCATCCACCCTCATCCTCCCTCATCCTCCTAACTTCCAACCTCCCATCCCTCCTCCCTCCCATCCTCTTGTATAACTGTGTTTTTCTTTCTCGTGAACACCCTGTTAAGTGTGTATGATATATCTAGTGTTGTGATGAGAGTTGTTACTCCATAGAGTATCATAGATACTAAACCGTATCCAAGATACTCTCCTCCGTCCTTACCCCTCCTCTCCTCCCTCTCCTCTCTATCTCATCTAAAGATTATTCTTCTCAAATTATCTTCAGCAGTTTGTCTCCGACATGTAACCATTACTAGCTCCTCTTCTATCTATCTGAAGATTCTAGAATCTACGAAATAAGGTATTTGACCAATGGTCTTTTTGATCAAACATTTTACAGATTTCTATGTAAATTCTATGTATAAATGTATTTTGTATATTTGTATGTGAGTTTAATTCAAACTAGAAACCAATCGACCTGAGGTGGAGTAATTACTGAAGGGAGCTGAGTAATTACACAAAACCTATCCAGGGAGCTGAGTATTTACTCAAAAGCTATCCAGGGAGCTGAGTAATTACACACAACCTATCCAAGGAGCTGTATAATTACACAAAACCTATCCACGGAGCTGAGTAATAACACAAAACATATTCAAATGGCTAAGTTATTACTTGAAACCTTTCTAGAGAGCCGAGAAATTACACAAACCCTATCCAGCGTTCTGAGTAATTACTAACAATCTATCCATGAGCCTAAGTAATTATTTAACACCTTATTAATTGGCTAAGTAATTACTTAGCCATTTAGGGGGCTGAGGAACTGGAAAAAACCTATCCAGTGTGCCCGGTAATTACACAAAACCTATCCAGTGGTCTGAGTAATTACTAACAATCTATCCATGAGCCTAAGTAATTATTCAACACCTTATTAAATGGCTGAGTAATTACTTAGCCATTTTGGGGGCTGAGCAATTACTAAAAACCTCTCTCAGTCTGAGTTATTTATACTCAACCTCTATCCAAAAGGCTGAGTAATTACTTAAAATCCATACAGGGGACTGAGGAACTAGAAAACCTATCCAGTGTGCTCGGTTATTACACAAAGCCTATCCAGTGTGCTCGGTTATTACACAAAACCTATCCAGTGGTCTGAGTAATTACACAAAACCTATCCAGTGGTCTGAGTAATTACCCAAAACCTATCCAGTGTTCTGAATAATACAAAACCTATCCAGTGGTCTGAGTAATACAAAACCTATTCAAAAGGATTAGTAATCACTCAAAGAATATCTAGGGCTGATTGATTACTCCAAACCTGGCCAAAGAATATCTAGGGCTGATTGATTACTCCAAACCTGGCCAAAGGGCTAAGTTTTTACTCAAATCATATCCAAAGGTGTGAGTAATAACTTAAACCCTATCCAGAAGTTTTTACTCAAATCATATCCAAGGGTGTGAGTAATAACTTAAACCCTATCCAGAAGGCTGATTTTTTAATAAGTCTGATAATCGCCAAATATTTTCCACCTACTCTGTATCTTCATTATAAGAAAAGATTCTGAACTGATAGCATGCGTCAAGATTTAAAGGAAACTATTTTTAGTTTTATTTTAGTAGGAGATTAATCTTTTTATATTGGATCTATTTGATGCACGCCTTCTTGTATAAGCTCTTAAAACAAAATAAAAATTTATTGAAAATAAAAATCTAAATAAATATTTTTTCATATGTTCTAATATAAAACTAAAAACATTTTATCGGGTTGTCTGATTTGATTAGATACAGTGTGTCCCAAAAAACATGGGAATTCAGTGACAAATTCGATATCGTCTTTGTTATGAATTAGCATTGTAATACTTAATTTCAAAAGCCATAATATTATTTTGTCTGCTAGAGTTTATTTTATGAAAAGGGTAAAAGACTGTAAATATGTGTCTATAATGTCTCCGCAAGATGAACAGTGAAGACGGACAAGTTTACCGTGTTTGTATACTGTAATTTTCTTGTTTTACTAAGTACAACCGTATGCAGTCAAAACATAAACAAACAAAATGTGAACATAGCAGACGAAACTCTCAGCTTTCTCAGTAGATATCACTAAACTAAATCAAAGAATTATTTAAAAAGACGATATCGAATTCGTCACTGAATTCCCATGTTTATTGGGACACCCTGTAGTTTGCAAGCTAAAGGATTAGTACATTATTGAATTGATGTATGCAACCAAACCATCCAATGTGAGATTTTGGTGTGAACTAAACAAATTTGGAAGAATTGTAAAAAATAGGTTAAAAATCATGTTTTTATATTTCTGAAAAACTCCTCTCAATTTAATTTATGTTATTTAAAAAATGAGTAACAAGGTTCGAGTAATATTAAACTGCAGTTGAGGAGATTGAATTGAAAAACAATAATAAAACTGTTAGTAATCACTAATCAAGGAGCAGTGTAGGAATAAAACTGTAAGTAATCACTAATCAAGGAGCAATGTAGGAATGAAATAATAAAACTGTTATTAATAACTAATCAAGGAGCAGTGTAGGAATAACACTGTTAGCAATCACTAATCAAGGAGCAGTGTTGGAATAAAACTGTTAGTGATCACTAATCAAGGAGCTGTGAAGGAATAAAACTGTCAGTGATCACTGATCAAGGAGCAGTGTAGGAATAAAACTGTTAGCAATCACTAATCAAGGAGCAGTGTAAGAATAACACTTTAAGCAATCACTAATCAAGGAGCAGTGTAGGAATAAAACTGTTAGTAATCACTAATCAAGGAGCAGTGTAGGAATAAAATAATAAAACTGTTAGTAATCACTAATCAAGGAGCAGTGTAGGAATAAAATAATAAAACTGTTAGTAATCACTAATCAAGGAGCAGTGTAGGAATGAAATAATAAAACTATTAGTAATCACTAATCAAGGAGCAGTGTAGGAATAAAATAATAAAACTGCTAGTTATCACTAATCAAGGAGCAGTTTAGGAATAAAATTATTTCAGTGATAGTAATTTGTCCACCAGAAGTAAGGAAGTAAGTTTTTTATTTATTACAGTGATAACCAGAAAACTTTGGAAGAGGAATCCGACTTTTAGACTTTAGTTATGACTGCAAATACACCAATGAACATGAGGGACAGAAATTGTACAGTGCAAAGAGACCCATTTCGCTCAATAAGTGATTTAATAACTTTCTTGTTAAGCTATTTGCGTTGTAACAACAACAAATGTAATTATTTTAAGTGTAATTATAGGAACTGTAACTATATGTAATGTAACTGAGCCGCTGAGACATCTAAAAGTACTTCTAAAAAATTTCTTGCAAAACTTATTGAACTCAGAAAATTGGTAAAAGTTTATTTTTGTTCTTAGTTGGGGTATGCATGTTTTCTTTTTAAATTTTCAGACATACAATATCTCTCACGATATTTTTTTTTAAATTTTCAGTCATACAATATCTCTCACGATATTTTTTTTTATTTTCAGTCATACAATATCTCTCACGATATTTTTTTTTTATTTTCAGTCATACAATATCTCTCACGATATTTTTTTTTAATTTTCAGTCATACAATATCTCTCACGATATTTTTTGTTTTAAATTTTCAGTCATACAATATCTCTCACGATATTTTTTGTTTTAAATTTCCAGTCATACAATATCTCTCACGATATTTTTTGTTTTAAATTTTCAGTCATACAATATCTCTCGCGATATTTTTTGTTTTAAATTTTCAGTCAAACAATATCTCTCACGATATTTTTTGTTTTAAATTTTCAGTCATACAATATCTCTCACGATATTTTTTTTTTAATTTTCAGTCATACAATATCTCTCACGATATTTTTTTTTAAATTTTCAGTCATACAATATCTCTCACGATATTTTTTTTTTGTTTTCAGTCATACAATATCTCTCACGATATTTTTTTAAATTTTCAGTCATACAATATCTCTCAAGATATTTTGACGGATTTAGAATGAGAGATCAAAATATGACAGTCATATTCTGATATAAACAGAGGCTGAATTTAAAGAATTTAGGCCGCGGATAAAATATGGTTAGTTCCACTTAAAATTGTATGCAATGTTTCAAGATTTAAGCCAGCGCTCAATTGAAACCGGTTTTTGTCGGATTTGAGACGCGGCTCAAAGTCATTAAATTCGGACTCAGGATGCACTTATAGATGCCGTTAGTTTTAAGTGGCTGAGAGACCACATAAAAGCCGTCTTGGATCTCTTAAATAATTCACAATATTTATTATTCAACTTTATTCTAAAAGAATAGATCTTGAAACAATAACAACTAAATATCCTGGAAATATAAAAATGTTTCAAAACCTGTTTTTTTGACAATGACAATGGCCGATTAACCATGGTACCCTTGAAACCTTTATATAATCTAAGTGTATACAAGTTACTTAATTTGTGATTTATTTGCAGAATTGTAAATAATCAGTTATATAAACATTAATATCTGATTCATCTTTATCAGAAAAATCTTTGCATGAAGGGTCACTTGAAATTACGCTTACAGTCCCTTTAAGGTCCCGTACCTAAAGTTTTGCTTGTACAGGGTGTCCCACGAAACATGATAGTTGGTGAATAGTATAAAATGTCTTCTTCCATATTTTGTTGAGCTATTTGATACCAAGGAGATTAATAAACAATATCATATAGCATTCATATTAATAGGAAAAAATATTTCTAAGTAAAATATATTTGAGTAAAAGATTTTTTTAACGAATTAAACTGCGAAAAGTCTTTAATATCTAATACAGTATTTGGAAGAAGAAATTTAAAACTGTTCGCCAACTGTGATGTTTCGTGGGACACCTTGTAGTTGAATTTCTTGAGGGAAAATCTGTTCTTTCTTTTAAAAATATTTAGTGGCTACTACTAGTGGCGCTTTTATTGCAATCAAATATTTACTTTCTTTTAAAAATATTCAGTGGCTACTACTAGTGGCGCTTTTATTGCAATCAAATATTTACTTTCTTTTAAAAATATTTAGTGCAACTACTAGTGGCGCTTTTATTGCAATCAAATATTTACTTTCTTTTAAAAATATTTAGTGCAACTACTAGTGGCGCTTTTATTGCAATCAAATATTTACTTTCTTTTAAAAATATTTAGTGGCTACTACTAGTGGCGCTTTTATTGCAATCAAATATTTACTTTCTTTTAAAAATATTTAGTGCAACTACTAGTGGCGCTTTTATTGCAATCAAATATGTTAAAAAATGCCTGGTTAAAGGAATTGAGTCTTCGGAACAAAATCAAATATTTAAACCTCAATATCTTTAGATATCAATGTTGTAATCCTTTGATATTATAAAATCAAATTATTTGATCTAACAGAA